CCATTTTGTTCTATTTCTTCGGAATAATTTATCCCATAAACTAGTATGTTGGCAAAATGTTCACATATTTCCAGTAATCATAGATTAATTTTAATTATTTTGTTTCAGATCTTATATAACACAAGGAACAAGTATTCTGCATTTAGCAATCATAATAAGAATAGTTCTAACATTTTTTGTAAGACCAACTGAAAGTTAAACGCAATTCATCCCTACCTGATTTCGAGGTAGGATCTTCTTGCTAGGTTAGACTAAACTTTTATTTGAAAGTCTACCAAGATATTGGAGCCATTCTTCCCTTCTTCCACGGTAAAGTCAATTGCTTTTTTATTCTCAGTTAATCAATTTCAGCGTTCTATTCTGACTTTACCTGAAAAGACAAAAATACTTTCTCCATTCTCTAACTCTAAGATTAAGAATTGATTGCCATTTTTATCTAACAGTTCTTTACGATTGGTAATAGTTGAGTTAATTGAGCGCATTTTATTAGTTTATTAATATATTTTTAAGGAATTATTTTATTTTTTTTGCAAATTTTTTAAAACTTTTGCTAAAGCTTGGTAAAAAATTTTACCTTTGCTAATTTCAGGAAGATTATCAACAATATCTTTTACCTTAAAAAAAATCGTTTGAAGCGAACTAGCAATAGCAAAAATCCTTACAAATTCTGTTACTTCAAATTTTTTTCAAACACTAAAAACAAAACAAAAAAGAATACCAAACCCTGGAATAATCAAATAAGAAAGAGTAGAAAAAGCTTTTTTTCAAAAAGAGTAACCAACCTGAAGAAAATTTTTGTCAATTACTTTCTCAATACTTTGCGAACTTTTCTGCTTCTGCAAATATTCTTCAAACAAAACATTTTCCTGGCGGCGAAACTTACTTTCTTTTTGATTTATTTTAGACTGAATCCGATAAGAAAGAAAAATTAGAACTATAAGAAGCGGGGAGAGAATTGAGACAAAATAAACAGTAAATTTACTATCGTCACCCCGCCGCATACCAGTTAAGAAGAAGAAATTAAAAACAATACTTACAGTTGCATTAAAAATTCTTTGGGGAACTAAAGTAAAAATTGGAGCAAATAGTTCTACCTCAGTGAAGAAACTATTCAATATTTCTCTTTGATACTCTTTAGTCTTTTTAGGATTTTTCTGACTACGAACAAGAATTAATTTTCTTAAATGAAAACGACATAATTCTAAAGAATAATTCTTCAAATATTCACCAACAATACTAATAAGTAAATAAATCAAAAAGAAAACCAAAAGCAGATATCAAATCAATCCAGCTCGAGAATCAAATTCCCACACAAAAATTTTAAAAGGAGGATTAGCACCTTCATATCCCCACAAATACTTCAAACCATAACTAGTTGTTTGATAATAAAAATAAAGAGAAATAAAAGTAAAAAAATACCAAGGCAATAATTTTTTCCAGAGTTTTTTTAATAGCCAAGAATAAAGAGAAAAATTAGTTTTTTTAGACCTAATCATAAAAACATTTTAACTTAAAGATATTAAAAAGAACTCTACTCTTCTTTTTGACACTGCGAGCAAAAAAAAGTCCCTCGACCATTAATTTCTTTACTTTCAATTAGAGTAGCGCAAACATAACAAGGCTTTTTAGTTCGTGCATAAACCTTCAATTTAGTTTGGTAATCACCTTTTTGAGCCAAGGGATTAATAAAATCAAAAGCTGAAGTCCCTCCTAATTTTAAAGCTTCCCTTAAAATAGATTGGGCTGCTGAAACTATTTTTTCTATTTCTGAATAAGTAAGTTGGTTGGTCTTTTGGAGAATGGAACTAAGGCAAAAACCAATCATTCTGTCTAGTACTTGTCGAGAAACTTGGGCTTCTACTAAATTTTCATTTACTTCTGATGGCTTATTTAAAGCTTCGTTGATATTGTGGGGAGTTATTTCGTAAAAAAGTAGACGCCGGTACTGCTCTGACTTTAATTCCAACAGTAAAACTACTTCTTGAGCGATAGCTTCACCTTCGCGATCTGGATCGGTGGCTAGATAGATTGTGGAAATTTTTTCTCTTTTTAGGTATTGTTTTCGAGAAGTAATAAGATTTTCTTTTCCTGGAATTATTTCGTAAGTAGGTTTGAAATTTTCTAAGTTTACTCCTAAATTATACATGCCTGATTTTTTTAATTCCTGCAAGTGGCCACTGGTAGCAAATATTAGATAATTCTCGCCTAAAAATGATTGGATAGTTTTCTTTTTGACTGCCGATTCGAGAAAGATCAAACTCTTGTTCATAAAAAACCTGTTTTGATATATAAAAGTTTTTGTCTTGTTGCTAAATCTGTTCGTAACTAATAAGCAATGAAACAATTACTTTTTTAAAGGAAAGATTTTGTGCTTTAATCAAGTTGTTAAAGTTTTTCATGTTGAAATTTTTTCATATTTTTCGTAAGAAAGAAGAAGATAATGATTTCTATTCCTCCTGAAAGAATGAAGATTAATAATTGATTTCTGCTTAAAGGTACTTCTACTACTCGAAAATTTTTGTGTAAATCGTTTAATTCTGTGGAATCGGAATTAGAACTGCTGGCGACGAAAACAAAATTAGATAGATTAGGAGTTATTTCTTTCCTGTCCCCTTCAGAAGTCTCTGTTTTGTATTTCCACGAACTAGCATCTGCTTCTTTCCCGAAAAGTTTCGAGAGCAATTCTTTTACTCCCTGTTTAGAAATTTTGTTAATGTTTTTAAGAAAAACTATCGAGAATTCTTCGTTTTTTAGATCTTCTTTTTTTATTATTTCTGAAATTTTTTCTTTGACTTCTTCTGTTTCTTTTTCTTGATAATCATCAAAATTTATGACGTTTTCTGAAAGTTTAATATCTCTTTCTTCAATTTTATATTCTTTGGTGGTTAAGGCGTGGTTAAAATTTTCACCATAAAAGAGGATAGCGGAGGAAGAGAGTTCTTTGCTTCATTTAGCAACTCATTGGTTCTTATAATAGTTAATTGAATTTATTGTTATTAGTTTTTCGATAAACTTGTTCCGATACTCTGGAATTTTTCCATTTTGTTCTATTTCTTCGGAATAATTTATCCCATAAACTAGTATGTTGGCAAAATGTTCACATATTTCCAGTAA